TCCGAGAGTGCCGCACACATGTGGTGCCCAGACATACATGCAGGCAAAACACTCACACATTAAAAAAAAAAAAAATAATCATTGAAATCCATCTGTCTCTTGACCCCCTAATTCAATTGCCTATTTGGACTACAGAGCGACCCAACCCCAAATATTCTTATGTTTATTGCCTTTCATCAGCACTCACAGACTGATACATATTTTGGACCATGTCATTATTTAGTTTCTTGGAGGGGAGAGTGCAAACAGAGTCCCCTGCTACTAAAAATTTGAGGAAATCACAGTGGCCAGCACATCTGGAGTGCAATGGATATGTTTTATCCCAAGAAAACCAACTCTGTGATCATGGTATCCCCCCTGCCAGGTAATTTAAAAACTCTTCCTAAAACCGGGCAGTTAGGTCAGTGGCAGAGTAGTAATTAGCACCTGAAAGATGCTGGATTTGACCTACCCCCTCCCCAGCCCCGCACTATAAACAGAATCCAAAACAAGTCAAGTCTTCCAAAAATTTCAAACTTATTTTAAAAAACAAACCCTAAAGAGGGTTAGGGTCGGGCCATAAACAACCACCTACTAAGTACTAGGTCACATAGTTCTGCAAAGCTGTCTTAAGCTTTGTTCTGTCCATTAAGAGGATAGTCCCTTGCTGGAGCTAAAAGTTCATTTTGTTTCTTAAATGAGGATCTGCTTTACTAACAACTCAAACCCTACCACTAGCTCCAGATGTCTAATATTAAGACTTCATTTATTTCATTTGCCTTAAAGCCTAAATTTTAAAAAAGGCCCAGAACAGCATGTGAGCTTATGAAATGGAGAGTATGTCTATACACTTCTGTTTACATAGGTATTACTGGAAGATAAGCTGTAAGAAAATGGGAAGGTGATATGCACAGTGGCTTACCCCTTTAATCCCAGCACTTGGGAGGCAGAGGCAGGCCCACCTTTGTGAGTGTGAGGCCAATTTGGTCTACATAGTGAATTCTAGGACTGCCAGAGACACTTAAGTGAAGTCTTGTTTCAAAAACTCAACCAACCAACAAATAACAGAGAGAGTGGTAATGAGGGCAACTGTTAGTGATACAAACCACATGGACTAAAGGTATGAGAGATGTCAGTACTTTTGAATGCCAACACATCGTAATTAAAAAAAAAAAAAAGCTTTGATAATCAAGCCTCAAAAGAAGAGACGAATGCAAGCCTGTTCAACTTCTCACTTTTTGGAAATAACTCACTTTCCTGGCCCGAAACACTAGGCAGTAATCGTAATAACAGTAACAACACAAAACAACTAATAAGACAGTACCTTGATTTCTTTTGATGTCTAATCACACATCATATTCTCTAGCAGTTTCTTTAAAACATACCAAAATTCTGCTTCAAGTCTATTTACCAAACTTTCATTTCTTGTATCACAATTATAACAAATGGGTTTCCCAATCAAAGCTCTTTTGTTCCACCACGCTCTTCTCATCCATTACTCATCATATTGTCAAAGTGGTTTCCTTAAACACAGTATCATTTTCACCATGTTAAGTCTCCAATAAAAATTTATAATGGCACACTTTTGTTTGGTACACCAAATTCTGAAACAAAAATACTTCTGCAAATAGACTTCCTCCAATTCAAGTAGATATATTATTGATTTCAGCAATCACCACCACTACCAAGAATGAAATTCTTATCGATCCTAGCTTCTAATACTTTTTCCTGTTTTCTACTGCCCACAACTGTGGAAAACAACTTTTCTGTGTACAATATTTTGTGCTGCAGTATATCAGCTTTGCGTTCCTATTCATAACCTATGTCCACAGGTTAAACCTTTCATGCATTTTCAGTGAGATCCAGGCAAAAATTCTTCCGTTAGCTATTTTGTCATTCTATTACTGTTTCACTGAGGTGAGGATTTATCTTTTAAACTCATAAACACAACTATGTTAACTATGCTATTATATCTCTGTAATTTTGAATTCTGAGTAAGTCAAGATCGGTAGGATTGGTTTTAAGTTACTTAAAAATCTGAAACATGTATCAGGCACAGCTTCATGCTGTACTGCAGAACCATTTTTTCCTCTTGTCGATGTGTTTCCTTAAGTGTATTGAGAAAATACATCTCATTTGACACTTTTCAGTACTAGACATAGTGGGGAAATACTGCGAATCACTGACAACCTTCTGCAATTCAGTTATTTGATACTTATTTGTTACTTAATTTAATAATTTAATAGTTATCTCTAAATTCATTCAACATATATATGTATTTTTTGTTTTTGTTTGTTTTCGGTTTTTTGAGACAGGGTTTCTTTGTGTAGCCTTGGCTGTCCTGGACTCGCTCACAAAGATCTGCTTGCCTCTGCCTCCCTGAGTACTGGCATTACATGCATGCGCCACCCCGCCTGACTTGGCTCACCATATTTTAACATAGTCAAATAGTCTATAAACAAGCCATTAAATTTTTTATTTAAAAAGCCATCTATGAATAACATATTTCTTTTAATTTTGGAAATAACTTTCTAGAATAATCTATTTAAAATCTCAAATGTTGAGAAATGTTGATAACGTGATAATTCTAATAAACATAAAAATGATACATCCAAGAATTCCAATTTGTATAACTTTGTAAAAAGTGCAAAGTGAGCAAGATTTTGGTTAAAATAGGAAAAAAATTTATATATTACAGAGGAACTAAATTTAACGTAACTTCAAAGGGCTCTATGGCTTCCACTGGAAAGGTCTTCTCAATTTAAGTAAAATTAAAGAAAATACAGGTGACTCCATTCACAATTTTCATTTCTGTATTCACAGCATGTGTTTCTATAGTCTTCTCATTACCAAAGAATTCTCTTACAAACCTTAGTAATGTGTTTATGATGTTATTTTTCTCCTATGCTTTGCATACTTAGTGTATAAAAAAAAAATTCAAATTTAGATGGAACTTGTTTTCTTTCTTTTCTTTTTTGGTTTTTCAAGGCTGGGTTTCTCTGTGTAGCTTTGGCTATCCTGGAACTCAGAGATCTGCTTACCTCTGCCTCCTGAGTCCTGGGATTAAAGGCATGTGCCACCACCGCCTGGCTTGGACCTAGTTTTCTAGAAAGTTAACATTATACATGAAAGTATGCTTCAAAATTCTTAAGTATTTAATGAACCACTGTATATTTTTAAAGTGCTGGAGTACTGCTTTACAGATAAGCCTCTATACAATATAATATTTTCAATAGGAATAGCAGCTCAAAGATCCCTTATACACGTCAAGTATTACAAGAAATGGGTAGGGAACTACCATTCATGACTTAGGAGTCACACTTATGAGCAAATGTTATCATTTTATATTCATATAGATAGGAGAAAAAAATGACAAAATAGTATTTCTCCACAAATGAGCAAAAAACTCCCAAGTAGCTATCTTGTAAAATTTAATGGAAACAAACAGCAACTATCTGTCTAGTTGAGTTAGGAATCATATTTATTTAAATGTCCTTAAACATATCTAAGATACAGAAAAACACTCAAATGTTCAAGACAAATGTTTTAATTGAATTCTTCACCAAAAGATAAACACATATAAAAATTGTCCAAGAGAAAAAAAGCTACCAGTTGAATATTAAAATACTCTGAAGAACTAAGAATGTACTGCATGCATAAAACAATTTACAATAAAATTTTTACTATTAATAAGCTTTACAAAAGATGTAATTTTATTTCTTCTGTGAAGTCTCTATAGCATCCAAATTCTTATACACCTTGAAGAAAGGTAGACTTGATGCTATAAATATAAACCTAAAATAATTTCTCTTTTTCTTCCAAAGTCTGTCATATGACTTTATTTGCATAACACACATTATACCACATAACATACACACACATACATACACACACACACACTAATCCAAATGACTCATAGGTATATATCAAACATCAGAATGTAATACAGAATTAAAAAAAAACCCACCTACATTAACACGAATAAATCTTCAAAGAAGTATGAAAATGCAAACTTTAGAATACATATAAAAGGATGGTATCAGTAGTGTAAAAGTTTAAAAACACAAAAGACTACATATTATTTACGGATACATACATATGTAGGAAAGGTATAAAAGGCATGTATACAGAATACACAACAATTTCAGTATAGGGTTACCATAGGGAGAATGGAGAATAGACAAAATGGGATAGATACAAAGGAGATTTTACCACTACCATGTTAAACATTACAAAAAGATTGAAGAAAATATATTATGTTAATATTGTCAAATATGATGGTGTTATAATATAATGGAGATTATTATATTATTTTCTACACTATTCAGTTTTGATAGCATTTCATAATAAGAATGAAAACATTCACAGGTAAAGAAAGGATGACTCAATGCTATCATCTTCATGTTAACCAATTAGAAATACGAAAACCAGGTTTCCTTTTCCAAAGTGACAATAAATATTAACAAAAAATGTTGCACAATTCCCAGTGTGTATATTTATAAAGCATCCATTGATTATATTAAAATGATATTAAAATATGCATACAATTAAACAACAGAACTTAAACGACACTTAATAAACTCTTTTCCTTGGTCAAAGAATCAATTTCACACCACAGACTTTCCTTGCTTTAAAAAGCATCCCTTTGAATTTTTTCTTAGTGGTAGTAACTGAACAATCTGAATCTTCTTTTAACCCATTTCTTTCAAATGTGACTCAGAACAAAAGGCTTAGTGCAGAGCATATAGCAGAGATATGGCTTACTTTAAAGAAGACCAAAGAATACACTGCATTCCAATACAAACAGAGGCTCAATTAAAAACAATTATTAAATTGCCAATATAAAAACTTTTTTTTTTTTTTTTTATTTTGAAACTCTCAACCTGAAAGGTAAATACACATGGTCTCTAATTTTAGTTACCACACTTTTTTCTTGTCTGGAAATATTCCCATCTTTGTCAGATTAATACTTCCTGGATCACAGATGAAGTCTTTCAAATTAAAGAGAAACAACTACTTGCCTGCTGTTTTTGATACGCAGTGTTTGGATTTATCTTTGACTCCAAGAGTAGAGATCCTGAAAGAGTTAAAAAAATGGAAGGCTCAAATTCAAGTGAAATCAATATTCAGACTATGAGATAGCTAAAATCAAACTTAAGGTCTAATTTATTATTTAAAGCCTAACTTTAACAAAAGCCGTTTCATTGCATTTCCTGTCAAACAAAACAAATCACAAGGGCCAGAGAGAGACTTACCAAAACATACTTGTTCTTTTCCTTTGACAATCAACAGAAATCCAGCATAACATAGAAATATGCCTCTGACGACTGCCCTAGGACATTCGCCAAAATAAATCTAAGATTGTTACTCTTCTATTACATGTATTAGCTGCTCCAATTGGGAAACTCGTGAGTACACGTAGTAGCCGTTTCATTATTTATGGCTGCCAGTTTTTAGTAATATTAAAATGCTTTCTATGAATTCTGCAACCAACAAAGACAACCTTACAGTCTGCTTTAGTTTTCTAACTTGCTCAATCACGGAACCCACTTTTTCACTCTCTGCAATGGCAGCCTGGGGGAGCAGGGAGATCAAAAAGTAAGGATGTGCTTCTGTGTGTATCGTGGAAACAGTCTTACTAACTCCCAAGAAAAAGTCCGTTTTAGTTTTCCCCAGCACGGGTCCCTTGGAACAACTGAAACGTATTTTTCTTTCTTTTTTTTGGCACTCAGAAAGTTTCACTAAATCTTTTATACCACACACATTCGCCCGACAAGCGGGTAGGGGGGTTGGCGTCTGATCTACTCATTTCCCACTCTTCACATTGTAAAGCTCTACAAGCGGGCAGGGATTGGAGGGGGAAGAGACAAATCCTTAATAGGGATGGAGGCGGAGAACTGCAGCTCACGTCTGACGGAGAGTAAATCCAGGCCCAGTGGTTTGTTTTTAACGTAGAGAAGGGCAGGCTCAAGACCCACGCGCGGTCCCGCTCTAGCGGTGCTCGTCCAGAGGACGGAGCCCGGAGCTTAAACCGAGGGCACTGTCCCCTACTGCACCGTTCCGATAGCCTTACCGTCGGACTCCGCACGAACCAGCAGCGACATCCCTTTGAGCTCCTCGACGTAAGTGGAGGAGACGTGCCCGGTGCCTCGGTCGTCCCACTGCCGGTCTTCGTTCAGGGTGTAGACCTTCACTCGCCGCCGTGTATCCGACATGGTGGCTGCCGGCCCCGCCGCCCCCGCCGCCGCCTCCTCGCTCGCCCCGCCGGCGCTCCTCACTCCTGAGAGCCGGTCGCGGCGGCCGCGGCGGCGGCAGCGGCGCCCGAGAGGCCCGCGTTTACCATGGCTCCAGAGGCTCAGCCGTGGGGAGGGGTGACGAGAGCCGCCGAGAGCCCTCTGCTCGTGGTCTCCGCCGCCCCTCCCGTCCCCCCTGCGCACACCCACCCCCCTTCCCTTCGCTCCCCGGGTCTCGCTCGCTCTCCCGCTGTCGCCGCCGCCGCCGCGGTCGCTACCACAGACCCGCCATCTTGTAATCCGACTCTCTCTGCCTTTCTCTTCCTCTTCCAGCAGGTTCGCACGGGCTGGTCTAGCAGGGGCTACGGCGGCCGACGAGGCCGACGCGCGGCACCGCCGACTCCGAACGCGCTTCCGGAGAGCCAGCCCTCGGCGCTCTCGCGAGGAGCACGCCACTGAGGCGACGCGCCTGGGAGGGACTTCCTGCTCTTCCGGCCCCGCCTCCTCGCTCGGGAATCTCACCTGGGTGGCCGTTCTCGCGAGCTTTGCTCCCTGCAAAGTGTCTGCAGCGGGTCGCTGCGGCGGTGGCGTTGCTGACTCGTTCGGCTCCGGGCCGGATGTCAGGCGTGTGGCGGGTGGTCAGCTCCAGGCTTGCTCCGAGGCTGGGGAGTCCGAGTGCTTGGACAGGACGGGCGGGGGCGGAGAATCCGCCTGGAAAGTGTTCCGCGGGCCCCGGGAGCAGTAGGCAGTGTTAGTGTTCCACGATCGCGTTGGCAGTTTTCTATTTCCCGCCAAAGCGTTCTTTGGTTGGCCTCGAGCGCCGGCCACGGAAAGGCTCCGTTTGCCCCTCAGGAAGCTGCGGGGCTCCGAGGGAGGCCGGCGGCCGAGACGGAGCAGCAGCCGGCGAGCGGCCGCCCACCCCTGCGGAGCTCTCGGCGCCCTGTGCCGCAGAATGAAGGGGCCCCGGAGCCGAGTCAGCGTTGCCCAGTGGGGGCGAAGCTCTCGCCAGGCCGCCTCCGTTCTCCCTATTCGGTCCCTCGCCTGGGCCAGCTCTCGGCTCTAACCTGAAAGTGAACGAGGGACAGGTGCACAAGGCGATCCCGTGGTGTATTTCGGGAATTGTAGTCATCACTAGGCTTGTCCACACTCTTCGCCTGTGCATTTAAAGTTGGGTCTTGCGTAAGTAGGCACTTGATTAAAAATAATTTCAAGTTTTGATTTACAATTGCTTTAAATGTGTAAGAGACCAAAAAAAAAAAAAAAATGAGCCTGGCTTGCTGCCACCTGCTTGTATCAACTGCACTTGGAATGGCTGAGACAGGAGGATCTCCTCGAGGTCCCGGATAGCTTAAGGTATGTACCAGGACTCTGCCTATGATACAGGGACCTGAATCGTAGTACGTAAGTGTCTGATGCGGCTATGATTGATATGAACAAAATGTACTTTGAGCTTGGGAAAATATAGTTTGTTTTGGAATGGCTATAGAAAGCTTTCCACAGTCCTTTTTTTTTTTTTCCCCAACGTTAGAAGACATCCCGGGGTTTGTTCTTCTTTTTCTGGGTTTCTTTTTGTTGCCTTGGCTGCCCTGGACTCTGTAGACGAGCCTGGCCCTGAACTTACAGAGATCCTCCTGTCTCTGCCTCCTAAACTTAAAGGCATGAGCCAACATGCCTGGCCCAGGGTTATTTCTAAGCATTTTTTTTTTTTTCCCATTGTCCACTCTTCAGAAGAAAAGGCCTTGGCAAGAGCACTGGACAGATCCTGGAAGTTCTTTATGACTGGAAGCTTCACGGTGCCCAGAGCTCTCTGCGGAGATAGTGGTTTTGGCTCCATTAATCGTATGGCCTTTTAGATGCAGGGACAGAAAACTAGAGCAGGAATCCACAGCACAGGATCCAGTGCATGCTCAACCCAGAAAGCAGCACCGCACTATAGCCACGCCTCCCCTAACAGTGTTTTTCAAGAAGGCATTGGAGATCTACTCCAAAAGGTTCTAGCCCAACTGAGTCCTGATGTCCTTTGTCTAAAAGTTTTATGTATAAAACCTTTATACATAAAAAGCTGAAAGGCAGAGAATCTTCTGCAGTGCAAGTTAAGTCTCGTCAGCTCCTGTCTCTAGCTATTTAGTTTTTCCTCTAGAAAACATGGACTATATCACTTCCCTTAGAACCCCCCCAACTCCCACTTTTTGTGTATGTAATGCTAGAGTGGGGCCAGTTTGTACGTTTGTGGCCTATAGAGTTATACACTTGGTTTAATGTTGCTATCACCATCTTGAAATGTTAAGTAATTTTTGAAATTTTTCTTTTCTACTAGGTCTCATGGCATATCTTGTTTTAGGAGATAGTTTATCATATACAAATTGTATGTGTTTGTCCAGTGTAGTTGTCTCTTGGTGACTTGAATGACTGTTTCCATGACTGGAGTCAATACCAAAATCTGTGTATGCTGAAGTCCCTTATATAAAATGGCATATATTTTACTTATAACCTATAATTTCCTGTAGAATAATTTATATCATCTCTGGATTATAATACTTATTACAATACAAATGCTATTTAAATAGCTGTTACTACTGAACTGTTTAGAGAGTGATGACAATATATGTTTAGCACAAAGTCCTTTTTAAAAGATTTTTATTATGTTCATGAACACCGTGTGTGTGTTTTTATGTATGTATGTATGTGTGTATACAAAGGTCTCAGAGAACCAGAAGGTGTTGGATGCCCTGAAACCAGAGTAGTGAACAGCCTGATGTGGTTTCTGGGAACTGATAAAACATCTCATTAGTGTATAGAGGCTTTTAAGAAATGACTTTTATTTATTTGGTGAAGGGAGGGGCTCTGCCACAACATGGTGTGGAAGTCAGGACAACTTGAAAGAGTCACTTCCCTTCTTTCATGTGGGTCCTGGAAAAAATAAAAATCATAAGAATGGTAGAATGCATATATGCAAAACTCATAAATATGGAAACTAATTACAATCCATTTTGCTTCTCTGAGGACCAGAACTGACAGGTTGTGTATTTGGGCTCTCTAGAGGAACAGAATTAAAGGGGAGTGGTGTAAAAGATCCATGTATTTATCTATGTCTGAGGAGATCTATCTGTCTGTCCATCTTATCTGTCTATCTAGCTGTATGGGAATTACTAGAAAGGGTTACAGGTTATGTTCCAGCTAGTCCAAGAGTGGCTATCAGTGGAAAGCCCAAGAATCCAATAATTCAGTCCATGAGGTTAGATGCCTGAACTGGTCTTTAGTATATGCCAGAATCTTGAGGGGCTAGTCTTCAGTGAAAGAATGGACTTGCCAGTGAGAGCAAGAGCAGGAGCAGGAGGTAAAGAGAGAAAACTTACTTCTTCAAAGTCCTTTACATAGACTGTAAGCAGAAGGTGTGGCCCATATTAAAGACGGATCTTCTCATCTCAAAGAATCTGGATTAAAAGTGGGTCTTCCCACATGAAATGATTTAGTTAAGAAAAAAATCCCTGTGTGCTCAGGTACAGTTAGGCTTATTGCTGTGACTAGACACCATGGCCACAGCTCTTAAAGAAAAACATTTCATTAGGCTGGTTTATGGTTCGGAGGGTTAGTCCATTACTATTATGGCTGGAAGCATGGTGCCACACAGGCAGACTGGGGCTAGAGGGGTATCTAAGAGTTCTACATCTGGATCCACAGGCAGCTAGAGAGAGAGTGAGCCACTGGGCTTGGCTTGAGCTTCTGAACCCCCAACTCCAATCCCCAGTGATACACTTCCTCCAGTAAGGCCATACTTACTTCAACAAAGCCACAAGTCCTAAACCTTTCAAATAGTGCCACTCCCTCTGAACTTATAGGGGCTGTTTTCATTCAAACCACCATGAGTGCCTACCTAGCTGCTTGGATTTTAGTTAATTCTTGATACAGTCAAGTTGACAACTAAGAATAGCTGTCACAGATCGTATACTGACTAAGGCCAGAAACCAGTAAGATTGGATTTCGGGAATAGTTTGACTTAGGCTCTGACACAATGTGGGCATTCTGGTGCTGACTACCAGCTGTTGGCCTAAGAAAATATTCTAAAGGAGGTAATCCATGTTGCATATGCAAAATTCAGGCACCTGAAAATATGGAGGAAATGGAGACTGCAATTGAGCTATTCAGGGTATTTCAGAGGCTAAATCTAGGACCCATGGGGTAGTCTGGAACTTATTTCTGTAGTTTAAGGCTAGACAAGGGATTTGAGGGTCATGGAGCTCTATGTAAAGATACCTAAACACTCAGCCTAGTATCTACTATGTAGTCAAGGCTCTTTTGGGAAAACTTGAAGCCTTAAAATGTAGATGAGAGCCCCTTAGGGATTTTGGTATTACAGATACCCTCTGGACCCTCAGACCTCATAGAAGCAGCTCATAAGGCCTTATAAAAAGCAAGCACTTCCTTCCCCACCTTTACCATTTACTCTGATTTTCTCTCCTAGCTACGAAGCTACCTAGGTTTAAATCCCAGCACAATCTATGGGGACTGCTGGGAAGATTATGCATTAAAGGAACTAAAACCAGCCAGAATGTGTTATTGGGAAGTCAGAGTACACTTGGTATTAGATTTTTTCAAAGTGTTCATAGACTTCGTTGACTTGTACTCTTTGGGAGCAGATATTTAACGTAAGTACAGACTACAGCCATGGGATAAACTCATTGCAGGCTTAGGTCTTCAAAGCCTGAAAGGTGATGGCATTTGCTGAGAAAAGTGGAAATGAGCTCTCAACATAGCAGCTTTTGACTCCTGGAAAAGACAGCTATTTCCTCTTGCATGCTCACTTGTAAATCTTACTTGTTTTGTAATAAGTGGTTTAGGTGGTCACCTGAAAGTGTTTTTCTCTGAACCCCCCTTTAATCTCATAATAATATTTATAGGACTGCCAGAAGTGTTAAATAATAGCAGTGCTTGTTTTGTTCTTGACTTTGATGGCTATACCTTCAGTGTTATGTTTCTAATACTTAAAAATTTTATGTGTATACCATGTGCATTTAGGATCCTGCCAAGAACAGGTGTTGGATCCCCTGGAACTGTAGTTTATAGTCACCGACTCAGGTCCTCTGCAAGAGTTCCAAATGCTCCTTACTGCTGAGCCATCTCTCTAGCTTGTTTCTAATTTTTTGATCAATATTTACCAAATTAAGGACATTATATACATTGAATTTTGTAAATCACTTCTTTGGCAATTGGTGTTTTCCCTCTCAGTATTTTGTTATAATTTTTATATTTTATAATTATCTACACATTTTGTGATTTTTATTTTTTAGCATTGTCTTCTAGTATATGAGTTCTTGGGAATTATGGTAATTTTATAGCCCCAATTTAAAAATGGTGTTTTTCAGTGCTCCCAGCACATACAGGTTAAAGTTCAGTCTTAACTCTAAACTACTTTATTGTGGACTCTCTTCAGTTACCTGTGAAACTGCTTCTATTCAGCAGTCTGCCTCTTCCTCTTGTCATCATCCCTTAAAGCCAGCTCATATATTGACCTCTGTATAGTAAGAAGCAATTCAAATTCCACTTGGAAAGCTTCACCTTTTTTTTCCAGTTTCCCTACCCCCCCCCCCCAAAAAAAAAAAAAAAAAAGATTAGGGTCTTACTGTTAGCCAGACTGGGTTCAAGAGGTTCTCCTGCTTTAGCCTCCTAAGGGGTCTGTCACTATGACTAGCTCTCATCACTGGATAAAATGACTGTGTGTGTGTGTATACGTACGTGTACGTGCACACACTCTACAAGTAAACCGCAGGTGTCATTTAGTTTGTGACAGGATCTCTTCGATGGCTTGGCCTTTTCAAGTATGGCTAGGTTGGCTGTCTGGGAAGCCCCATAGTTCCGCTTGTCTCCATGTCCCTAGTGTTGGGATTACAAGTGCAAGCCACCATGTTCAGCTTTTTTCTTGTACTCTGGGGACTGAGCTCTGTTAGGACGAATTAGGAATACGTGTTCATTCATTTGGTGTGCGTGCATATACATGTGCACATACATGTGGCGATCAGCAGTTATGAGTTAGTGCTCTTCTTACACTATGTGGTCTGTGGGATCAAACTCAGGCTGCGTATCAGTGTCTTTACTGTGTCTTTGGCACAGAAGCATCTTGCTGGCCCACATCAAAAAACAAAACAATACATTTACTGTGCATTTTTGCACTCACTTGCCAGTATGCATGAGACCAGAGGACAACTTGGGAGAATCAGTTCTTCCCTTTCATCATTTAACTGTGGGGATTGAATTTAGGTTGTCAGTCTTGGTGGCAAGTGCCTTTATCTGCTCAGTCATCTTATTGGTCCCTAACATAACTTTAAAAAAACAAACAAAAATATCAGAGCCATGATGTATGCAAGCAACTTCAACATTTGGGAGGTAGAGGCAGAAAGATAGCTTCAAGTTGGGTCAGCCTGTTTTATAGGGAGTCCAGGGAGTTATGGCTACACTGCAAGACCCTTTTGTTAAGAGGGCCTACCAACTTTTTTACATTAGTAACTACACTAAACAGTAAGTTTCCAAAGGAAAGCACAACACACTCTAACACTGTGCTCAGTTGTGTGTTGTGTTTTGCTAGGGACTGAATTCAGGGCCTATTAACATTTTGCAACTGACAAGGAAAGGGTCACAAAATTAACCTCTGAGGTGGGAATTTCTTTTGGGTTAGCTTCATGTCTGTTGCCCATTGCTTCTGTACGCAGCCCCAATAAACTCACTTGTGATGAGCTTGACTTGGATAAAATGTTTTTGTAGATAGCCCCTCTATCTCTGGGGGGATCATACAGTAGTCTCCAACTGCTTTCTGTGACAGTCATCTTTATGTTGGTTGATGATTTCACTCATGTTTAGCAAGATTTCCACTGATTCAGATCCTATTATATCCATAACCCCGAGGGTAACCTCAGCAGTGTAACTGCTTTTTCCTCTTTTAACTCTATATTCTATCCACCCACGAGATACCATAATCGAGTAGAAAGTACTTTTCTTGACTAAGTCTTCCTGTCAGTTAAATACAGGGTATGGACTTCGCCATGATACATTTTCACTGTAACTTATGCTGGTCTTTGTATTTCCTTTCTCATTTCTACTGCCTGCCAGCCTGTTGTCAATTTTCATGGGAAGCATTTATCAATGCCCGTTAAACTGTTCATGATTCTGTTTCCTTAGAAATAAGCAGATGCTTGCCTAATTAAATGGTTAGAAAAATTACCTATCTCCACTTGTCTATATTATTTTTTTCTTTACAACTCTTACTAGTTTATTCACCTTGTGTCACAGCTGTAGTCCTCCCTCGTACCCTCCTAGCCCCACCCTTCCTCCTCTTCTCCTATGCCCTCCCCCAGTCCAGGGATAGGTTATATTATTTTTTAATATTAATTCAGTGTACATCTTGGTCCTGTTCTCCCTGTCCCACCCTCCCTCCCACAGCCCCTCTCCCCTATTCCAAATAGGGGAGCCCCCCTACCCAGATGCCCCATCTATTCACATGAAGCAAAAGATTAAACCACATAAAATTGTTTTACAAAATGAACTGTTTATTTTTGCTTCTGGACGTAGAATACCAAATGAAAATGAAGACCTCTACTTGAAATTTTCTTTTTCAAATGTCTTTTTATGTCCTTCCTTTAATGCATTCACATGTCCTTAAAAATATGATCTATTAACTTACCACTTGTCCTGGTTGGAATTTTTTTTGGTCAACTTAAGCCAGGATCATTGTCCTCAAGTGAGGAAATGCTTCCATCTTACTGGCCTATGGGCAAGTCTGCTGGGGCATTTTACTGATTAATACTTGATTTGTGAGGGCCCAGTTCACTGGCAGTAGTACTACCCCTGAGTGATAAGTCCTGGGTGGTATAAAAAGGCTGAGCAAGCCAGGGGGAGCAAGCCAGTAAGCAAATCCTTTTCTCCCAATTTTGATTTTGTTCATGGTCTATATTGAAGCAGTAGAGACCTCTAACTTGGACAGATCACTCTAACCCCTTACCCAAATGCCCTTCTAATTTAAAGCACCTGCCACTACATCACATGTTATGTACTTGATTACTGTCAGTTTTCTTCAAGTAGAATGTAAGCATGTTGGAACTTTAGCTCTGCTTGCTGTCATTGCTGTACATGTCACAGTGCTTAGTCCATAGTAAATGAATGAATTCACTGTTGGCTAGGCTAAGCAGGGTCAACTGTTGATGTTTGTTTCTTTCTTAGATCCAGAATTTAAGATGTTTTGGAAGAGGAAAAAAAAAATGGCATAAAACCCATAATTTGAGCCAGTAAGATGGCTCAGCAAATAAAATAAAGGTGCTTGCTGTCAAGTCTGAAGACCTGAGTTTATTTCCTGGAACCCACATAGTGAAGAAGAGAACCAACTCCTACAAGTTATCCTGATTCCTATTCCTACACATGCACAATGGCATGTAAGTGCACAAAATAAATGTTAAAAAAAAACAACAATAATTTATGGTATGTCAAAGCAATAGTTATAAAGGAACAACTTGCAAGTACCTTAGTTTTTGGTATGTGACAGTTCCAGTTTAAATACTTAGAAATTATGGAAAACTACCATGAGTTGAATAAAAATGAACAGAAGCTCTGACATGAATGGAAGGCTCCTGGTTTAAGCAGAAGTGAGGGTGCTTCTGCTGTTGGTGCTGTCCATTTAATTCAGTGGCATTCCTCTGGAATTCCAAGAACTGGCTTTGTTTTTTTCCAAATTATTAACAGTTTAGAGTTCCTTTGAAAAATAAGAGCAAATTTAAGAAAACCAAATTATAATTTCAGCCTGACCTAATGAGTTCGAGGGACCCTGTCTCAAACACACACATGCACGTACACACACAACAAAAACCACAAACAAAATCTCCTAAACAATGAACTTCATAGTTATTTCTAGAAATTACATCAATAATTTCTATACCAATTGATTCCTCCAGCTCTTACACCAAGAATATCCACACACTGCCAATTATATACATAAAAAGAATGACCTAGTTTGACCTGATAAGTGTGTAGGTGCTACTTTCTAAAACTATTTTATTTGAGGTTCCTTATGCCTCCCAAACCCTTGACTCCCAGGTAGGAGAGAAAGAAAGTTAGAAGGGAGAGGAGATGTAGACCTCTTTAGACCTAGTTTCTGCTTATTAGGGTCGTTGGTTGGGTTCTTTGAGGCTGTACCAATCTCATAGTCAGGATATCCAGCAGTCCAGCAAACAGGCAAATGCAGCAGCAGTCTTCTCAGAGAAGTGATCCTTTTCAAAGCCTTTCTCCTGAGTCCTCAGAATAAACTAACTGCAGCTGGCAAAGACCATGCCCCTCTATGAGGCAGTCATCAGCTGTGGACAAACTAAAAGCAGCCCCATATCTCACTGTTGGTATTAAAACAAAAACATTAACATAATACGACTAAAAGAAACCAAAACTACTACATGAGTGCATAATCTTTATAATAGGTAGTTAAGAAATTATTTCACTCCAGCAAGAATCACATTTATAGGACTCATCCCACTATATTTATTGTTTTGTGACCCACTTGAAACACTTATCATTAAAAACTGAATCAAACCAGCTCCCTCAATGCCAGTTAAATGTGTGCTTGCTCTGAAGAAATAGGTTCTGGCTTTTAAAATGGCAAGTTCCAGTGTATAAAATAGTAGTAGGCAAGCACAGTTGTTGAGCAGAGGTGAGCCATAAGATGAACTATGGGAGAATGGACATTACTATATATGAAGAAAAGGAAGGTATAAGAAAAGATCCTTAGGAAAGAATAACTGCTCTATTTATCAGTAGTTCATAATTACAGGAACAAAAAGGTAATCTTTTCTAAGATATAAAAATAGCTTTTAATAATATTTAAAATCTAAATAAGAGTAAGCAAATACATGTTACTCTTGAAATAAAAAAGGCACATGAAATGAGCATTTTAATACAAATAATTATATTTAAATTATACATAAATCTACACAGTAAATAGTACTATTAAAATAGTCCCACAGAATATCACCATTGAATACCATTTCAAAAGAGTCAAGGGGAAGAGTTAGATGATGACTGTGAAACAGGCTCTCCCATTACAATGCTACTTCTATCATTTAGAGTTTTGACAACAGTTGTAGCTGGAGATTGAAGTACTTTACGAGATAGCCTCATTCTTCCATCAGCTGGATCACGGCCAAAATATTTGACCTGTGTTAAAGAAAGATTCACTTTAAAGTTGACGTGTAATTTCAAAGACATTTAAATTTCCATTGTCCAAATAGGAAGTAAGTGTATAATGAAAGGACAGCTCAGTAATATGTAGAGATACACCCAGTAAATATAATCTGGTTAAGTAGCTGTTATTTAAAAAAAAAAAAAAAAAGAATCCAGGCATACTGTCCTGTTCTTGGAATTTCAGCACTTGGTGGCAGGAGGCATGCTTGAATTTGAGGACAGCCTTAGCTACTAAACAATGAGTTCCAGCTTGGCTACAGATCTTGTCTAAAGAAAACCTAAAACCAAACAACCAACCAAGCAGGAAAAAAAAAAAAAGTGTCTTCAGGTAAACTAATTGTGCCTTTTAATTGTCACCAGGTCCCTATACTGCAAGACTAAAGTCACAGTTATGGCTCAGATAAAGGCTTTCTAAACCCAGCTCTACAAATTCTATACAATGCTTACAACTCTATGACTCAGGGACCATTACACTAGAGCATACACCATTCTCTATATCTCAGGGACACTGGAGTATATTTTTCCTTGGACACTGCAAAGAAGGGGAAATGCAGCAGGTTTCAAGTCCCCTTTGATGTAAAAAAAAAAAAAAATATTATGTGGAGGTATGCTGTATTGAGTCTCGCTTTTCCCCAGAGCCACAGGAGCACAGATAGAAGTAAACTTGTGGCCTTAGTTACTCAGGTATAAGTGGAACAGAATGTGGTGCAATCAACACACCCGGATTAGCAGCAACAACTTCTGTTCACTGACAGAGGACTACAGGTCAGAGCCAGTTTTACTATCAGAGTCCTAGGCCCAGAGGCATTACCTTTATAGTAAGCTCAAAAGCACTTACTGTCAAGTCAAAAGTCTCAAAGATGATACAGTTTTCAACCACGGTATCAAGTCTGTCTCTAAATGACAGTCTGCAGAGCTCTAGAGGTGGATTTTTTTTTCTTGAGCTGAAGTGTGATCTCAAGGAAAAGGGTCTTACTTGAAATCCTTACTCAGCAGATCTGGTTTAGCCACCCTCACTTACAAAAGAGTCACTGTGCACAAATACAAGTTAGAGGTGTTTGTTCTATACTTTCAAAAATGCTGATTGGAACTTGAAGCATTTTACACCTTTGGAGATAATACATTAAACACAGATACCTGAATTTCTTGGCCAACTTCTAATCCTAGGGCAGTGGGATGTTTAATCTGGAAAAAAAGTTAATTAGTTACATGTAATTTCTAATAACCACAGATGTAAACATCTTTCCCCAAGTGAACAGCTATGTTTTTCTGATGAAATCTATTAACTACCAAAATAAAAAACAACATAAAAGTAGTCAGAAGGAAATGAAAACCACATAAAACTCTTTGTTACTGATAACTGTGACAGCTTCAATAAGTAGCCCTTCAAATGTCTATTTAGTGTGCCTTGGTAAACATGGGCTTAAGGAAGCACCTCACTCAATATGTTAAGAATGTCTTTTCATATGAATAACTAAAGCATTGTAAGACTATTCAAACTACATTGCAAACGTTAGTGTCTGGTGAATCGAGGTGAAAGCATTTTGTATATTCTTTGTACTTAAACTATTCGTAGGCAAAATATACAATTCTCAACAATTCAGGTAATTTCAGTACTATTTTTAACAAAATAAATCTGTGCTGGGAAGATACCTCAGATGATAAGAACACTTGTTGCACAAAAATGAGGACCTGAGTTCAAATCCCTAGCATCTGTATAAAAAGCCGAGAACATTGTTTATGTGCCTGTGTGGGGGAATGTACAGAAGGAAATTTTTTTGGAGCTTGCTGGCCACCAGCCTAGATGAGAAATGGCAAACTGCAGGTTGTGAGAGAGTAAGTGTCAAGGGAATAAGGTAGGGAGTCCCAGAGGACGCCTGATACCTTCCTCTCCTCCATCCAGACACACATCTACCCACTCTGTACACTTCACCACACATACAATTCTGTCTGTCCTTTTACCTTTCGTTGGTCGAGTTGTGAGTTATGAAGTAGCACAGCAGTCATGTTTGGATACAGTTTTACCATTACTCCAGTGTCTCTAGGAAAAGACAGCAGCTTGGTTAAAACAATAAGTATGCACTGACAAATACAACCTATGCTTTTATAGAAGAAGAGTGCCAAACAAATCCCAGACCACATATATCCCAGACCATACACACACACACACACACGAAAAACATGTTTTCATCTTTTTTTGGAGACAAGGTGTCTCTGTATAGTCCTGCAACTTGCTGTGACCCCAGAGATGCATCTACTCTGGCTTGTAAGTGCTAAGAATAAAGGTGCATGCCACCATGTTTGGTTTCTAGATTATATTCTCACGATTATAAAAATTATGACTATGTAACAATATACTTCTCTCATCTCTCCCTATTGTCTCTCTGTCTCTCCTTTACCCGTCTTTCATAGTGCTTGGGATTTGAACCCAGGACCTCATACATAAGTAATAAGAACTCTAATAATAAGCCACTTATCCTAAATCCAAATACATTTTTTCAATAGAAAATATTTAAATATTTGTGAATTAAATGACCAAGTAAGATAAGTTTTTAGAATACATTTCTCTAAAGAATATAAAATTTTATTATTTTAGATGTATTTTATTTTATATGTGTGAATGTTTTGACTATGTATATCTGTATATCTGTTGTGGCTATAAACATGTTTTTGTTTGGTCCCAGGTATGGGATGTAGGACTGATTCAGATGATCCATAGCAGCAGACTACTTGATTTGTGTGGGCTCTTGAGAGGAGCTCTTTGCCAGCTGCAGATAGTTTAAATCTGAGGACTCTGGAGAGAGAATAAATGCCAGAGCCCAGAGAGTGTGGAATGCTGAGAAAAAAGAAAGCTGCTCCTGGTTGCTGTTGGAGCTTTCCTGAAATGAAGGTTGGACTGGCTCCAAAGAAGTCGACGACCCTGACCAACAGGAAGCAGCTAAGAACTGTATCCCCTCTGCCACTAACCCTTTTTCTTTCCTACCTGGTGTTGGGGTGTTGGAAGGGGTTGGGTGGAGTAGGGAGAGAAAGATAAAAGAAATGCTAAGAGTTTTTTAAAAAAAAGTACGCCAACATATGTCTGCAACCACATGCATGCCTAGTGCCTGTGCAGGTCAGAAGAGGGCATCAGATCTGGAAGTGCATTACATATGGATGGTTGTGAGAAGGTCTCTTTTTTTTTTTCTCAAGTCTGAAAGCAATCAACTGTACAACTGTATTG